CTCTCGTGCTTTCTATCTCTCATTCTCTCTCTCTCTCAAATAAATAAATAAAATCTTTAAAAAAAAAAATAGCCATCCTAGTAGGTATGAAGTGGTATCTTAGGTATCTGTGTCTTATTTATTTATTTATTATTTTTTATTTATTTTTTTACTGTCTCTGTCTTTTTAATTGTGGTAGAGTATGCAACACAAAATTTGCCATTTCCACTGTTTTTAAGTGTACAGTTCAGTGGCATTAAGTACAGTCACACAGGTGTACAATCATCACCACCATCCTTCACCAGAACTCTTTTCATCTTCCCAAACTGAAACTCCATACCCATTAAATAGTAACTCTCCAGTTCCTTCTCCCTCCAGCCCTTTTAACCACCATTCTACTTCCTGTTTCTATGAATTTGACCACTTTAGGTATCTCATATAAGTAGAATCATAGTATTTGTCCTTTCGTATCTGGCTTATTTCACTTATATGTCTTTAAGGTTCATCCATGTTGTAGCATGTGTTAGAATTTCATTCCTTTCTGGGGCGCCTGGGTGGCTCAGTTGGTTAAACATCCAGCCCTTGATCTCAGCTCAGGTCTTGATATCAGGGTCATGAGTTCAAGCCCCTCGTTGGGCTCCATGCCCAGCATGGTGCCTACTTAAAAAAAAAAAAAAAATTTCGTTCTTTTCTATTGCTGAATAATATTCCATTGAATGTATTTACCACATTTTGTTTATTTATCAGGGGACACTTGGGTTACTTCTACCTTCTGGCTATTGTGAATAATGCTGCTGTGAACAGTGGTGTACAAGCCTTTTTTTGAGTTCCTGTTTTCAACTTCTTTGAGTATGTACCCAGAAGGGAATTGCTGGATCATATGCTAATTCTATGAGGGTTTTTTTGAGGGACTGCCATACTCTTTTTCCATAGCAGGTGTACTCTTACATTACCACCAGCAATGTGCAAGGACTCCATTCTTCCATATCCTTGTCAGCACTTGTTACTTTCTTACTTTCTGGGTTTTGCTTTATTTTTTTTTTTTAAATGGAGCCATCCTAATAGGTATGAGATGCTATCTCATTGTGGTTTTGATTTGTATTTCCCTAATGACTAATGATGTCAAACATCTTTTCATGTGTTTTTTTGCCATTTGTATATTTTCTATGGAGAAATGTTTATTCAAGTCTTTCTTTGCTCATTTTTTAATTGGGTATTTGGTTTTTTGTTATTGTTGAGTTGTTGGTGTTCTTTATATATTCTAGATGTTAACTCCTTATCAGATATGATTTGCAAATATTTTCTCCCATACCATAGGTAGACAATTCCTCTGCTGATTGTGTCCTTTGATGCACAGTAGTTTTTAAGTTTGATGTAGTCCTATTTGTCTATTTTTGCTTTTGTTGCTTGTGGTTTTGGTGTCATATCCAAGAACTCTTGGCTAAATTTCAGTGTCATGAAGCCTTTTTCCTGTTTTCTTCTAGGAACTTTATAGGTCTTATATTTAGGTCTTCAATTCATTTTGAGTTAATTTTTTAAATATGGTATGGGGTAAGTGTCCAACTTCATTTTTTTTACATGTAGATAGCCAGTTTTCCCAGTGCCATTTGTTGATAAAATGGCTGTTTTAAAGTTTTTAGGTAGTAAATCTGATGTCTGGACCTCCTCAAAAATGGTTTCTATTAATTTATTTTGTTCCTTTGAATTGTCCATACTTTCTTTTTCTTTGTATGCTTTGTGATTTTTTCTTTTTTGAGAAAATTGGACATTTGACTGTTACAGTGTGGTGATACTGTAAGTCAGTCTTCCCTTTCCCCAGAATTTACCTTTTTTTTTCTTAAAGATTTAATTTATTTATTTGTCAGAGAGAGCACACAAGTGGGGGGAGCGGCAGGCAGAGGGAGAAGCAGGCTCCCCACTGAGCAAGGAGCCCAATGTGGGGCTCCATCCCAGGATCCTGGGATCGTGACCTGAGCCGAAGGCAGACACTTAACCAACTGAGCCACCCAGGCATCCCAGTTTACCTTTTTTTTTTTGATTGTTGAAGGCTGTAATTGTCCATTTGTTTACTAACTCCCAAACTGTTTTTGCAAAGACTATGCCTTGTTGTATGTGGTCATCTGTGTCTCTGTGCCTTA